AATAATAATAATAATAATAATAATAATAATTATTATTATTATTATTATTATTATTATTTCAGATATATAGTACACTCAATATATAAGAAAAGGCTATTCCAAGCACTTGAAAGATAAGAAATCAGAAGTAAACTTAATAAACAAAGAGAGGCACCCACCAAATCCTCACTGCTTATTTGCAAAAGCTAACTTTGTATGACTCAGACTCTGACTGCAATCCATTAATTTTTATATAGTCAGTTTTTTTTAAAATCTTGGGAAAGGTAGAAGAAAAGGAAAAAAAAAGAGGACAAGCAGTAGCATGGTGGATGGACTAAAGCAATGTTGGGAGTACCACTGGAAAAGCAGAAGGTCCAGGTTGATGACAGATCATCCTGGAGAAAATCTATCTATATAGTCACTAAAAGTTGACACCAACTTGATGGCATGTAATCAATCAATAATTCAATACATAATCAAAATCATCAGCAAAAATATATTTTGTGTTTGTGTTTCACATATAATTTTAATAATTCAATTTCACATTAATTTGGACTGTGTAAAGTGATTAGTGGCAGAATAAGTAGTAGTAGAGGTATCTTTGGAACCATCAAACTGCAGAATATTTGTAGATCTTGCACAGGGAATAGAAACTTCTAATAAAGATTTTCCAAAGCCTTTGAAAAGCACTAAGTACACATTTGTAATTCACCTTATTTTTTTATTTATCATTCATTCATTCATTCATTCATTCATTCATTCATTCATTCATTCATTCATTCTGCCTATATTAAGTGCACCTAATAATGTCAACAGATAAAATGATGATCCGTAATCTCCAAAATACATATAAAAAGAGATAAAAAGATAAAAACAAAAGAAATATAAACACCTGGAAATCCCACCTCTAGTTACAACACAACTTTCCCTGTACAAGACAAAGAGGTAGCTCTTAAAAATTTTTCAAGAGCTCAAGAGGGAGAAAGCTGACTGAATCTTTGCATGGAGGGAGTTCCAAAGAGTGTGGATAACTACTGAAAACATCCCTTCTGAGGTCCTGTTAGGTGACAATTCCATAGTGACAGGAACTGGAGGGAGCTGACCCCATATGATTTGGTTAGGTGGACAAATGAATACAGAGAAGATATTATATCAGATAACCAGATCTGGAACTATATAAGGCCATAAAAATGGCAACCAGCACCTTGAATTCTACCCAGAAGCCTGGTAGCAATCAATGCAGCTCCAAGAGCAGGGGTCATCCAAATATATCAGAGCTCAATCATCACTGTCCAGGCTACTGGCTTCTGTACCAGCTGTAGCTTCCTAATGTTCTTCAAGGGCAGTCCCATATAAAAGGTGTTACGGTAGTCCAAGCAGGAAGTGACTAGGACAGGAAGGACCGGCCATAGCTGTCACCTGCTTTTCAGGTAGAAGTTGTGAGTCTAGGTGAACTCCCAAATTGCAGAATACCTCTGATTGGTGGAGTACAACTCTGTTCAGAGTTGAGGATGAAATTTCCCTGGAAACATTAGGCCCACAATCCCAAGACTTCTGTCTTAGAGGGATTCAGTCAGTGTCTATTCCTCCCCATCCAGACCTTTCAGGCACTAGATAAGCATTTCCACCTCATCACCTGTTTAGCCTGAGCATGAGATATATACCTGGGTATCATTAACATATTAACGATACCAAACATTGTGCCAACCCATCTTACTTTACCTGTACATTTTCAGTCTGGATGACTGAAAGAATCTTTCACTGAAAGGATTGCCCTCCTTTCCACTGGGTAAAATTAAATATCATCAGCCACTTACATCAAATGAGACCTATTCCTCTGTATTTGCATTTAAAACAATATTATCCCATAAAAAGAGTACTTTATATGCAGTGGTTTGGTTAATGATCCTGTAACTACAATAAGCCAGTTTCTTTCTATGTTACTCAAAAAGCCAACAATGCAAAGTGAAAGAAGCTAGATTCACACCAACGCCAGTATACCACTGAGAACTTAAGAAATAAATCTACTAGAAATAGAGTGAAATTTAGGCTAGAAATATACACATAAAAATAAGTAAGAAATAGCCTGAAAGGACATTTAATGAATAACCTGATAGATGATTAAAAATTAAGAGCACTACTGCTTTACAGATTATTTTCCTCCGTTTTTACAAAGAAGGTACATATGGTTTAGGTAAAGTAGCATTAAATAGACAGGAATTATAGATTATAGGTAGTCCTTGCTTAACAAGCATTTGTTTAACAACAGTTCAAACTTACGACAGCCTCAGAAATGTGCTTTATGACCTGTACTCGCACTTACAACTGTCACAAACCATCACGCCCCTATGGTGATGTGATTGCGATTTGTGACCTTTTTATGATGGTTAAGCGAATCATATGGTCATTAAGCAAATCACATGGCTGTTAAGTGAATTCCAGCAGAAAAGTCCATTGGGAAAGCTGGATTCCCTTAACGGCCATGTGATTCGCTTAATGACCACATGATTTGCTTAACAACCAAGATTTGCTTAATGACCGTTGTAAAAATGGTAGTAAAATTGGGTGCAGTCATGTGGTGACTCACTTAACCTCCCCGCTTAACAACCAATTTTCCAGTCCCTATTGTGGCCATTAAGCAAGGACTACCTGTACAGGTATAAAGGAAGTGCAAGTCAAACTATTCTAACCATTTCAAGACAAATCCATTAGTGTGTATTGGTATGCAGATACAGGTTTGCAAATATAACTTAGTCCAAAAGAACCCAGAAGAGCAAAAATGTACCTGATCTGAAATTTCACTTAATGGAACTTTCAACTTAAATACTTAAAAATTTTTCCATGGATATAAGTTCAAACTAAAACTGATTGCAATAAATCAAAATCAACTCTAGAGATGAAATCAAGAAGCACCTTCATGCTTGTTAACTGTTAAAGCCAATAAAATCTAGCCCAAATTAAACAGTTTTAGGACCTGCTGATTCTCCCACAAAAGATGCCTGAATCTCTCTAATGCTCAACAGAACTTAATTTTGACTAGCTTGCACCTGTCACCAATCAAAATGTCAGCCCACAATGGTATATAGGATTTCTATTTCATTTATACAAAGCTAAGTTGGCAAAAGTACATCAAAATTAGTTTGATTATATCAAATTTAGACAAAAGTATCATGATTTATATATTCAAATAAAAGAATGCTTGAATTTAAGCTCCTGGAAGTTGTAGATAAATGCATATTTTGTACTTTTAAGAAAAAATTGGTATAAACCTTTAAGAAGTGGTAGTTTTATCTGTCACCCAAACATATGTAATCTATTATTGAATTCATACTCTGCTTCCCCCCTCTCTTTTCATACTCTGTTTCCCCCTCCCATACTTCATTTTACAATTGGCTAGGATTAATGCATAATAATGGCACCCAGCATGGCAAAGTGGTTAAAATGTTGAATTAGGAGCAGGGAGACCCAGGTTCTAAACTGCCCCCAGCCATGGATGTTCACTGGGTGACTTTAGGCAACTCACTCTCTTTCAGCCCAACCTACCTTACATGGTCAGTGTGGAGAAAAGATAGGAGGAGAGAACACTATGGACACCGCCTTGAGCTCCTGAATGTAAGGAGGGATATAAATCTAACACATAAAGGCCTCCAGAACACTAGCACATAAAGTACTAGATATGATCAGCTTAAAATATTGGCCATTTGACAATCAATGTACTTAAAACCAATCAAGTGTTCTGTTTAGTATAATGTCATCCCTGAAAGGAATAGCATTTGTTAGTAATCTAGACATTTTACTATTTTAGCAGCAGAATGAACCCTTTTCACTGGCATAAGGAAGGAATTAATTCTTACTTCTTGCCCACTCCCATATATATAATAATGTCTGAACCAGAAAATCCTGTAGTAATTATAAAATAGCTGGATATACAGTATTCAAGTACTCATAGGATTACCTCTATGCTAAATTATCCAGCCAGTTTTTTTTTTTAAAAAAAGGGCAAAGGAAGAGAATAAAAATGTCAAACTTCTGCCAAATTCCTCTCACCATAAGCAGAATGGAAGTGGAATTCAAACAGCCTCAAGAAGAAAGCGCTAATGAAAGACTTTGAATTTTGGAAATCACTCTCCTACATATACGCTGATAAGACCCAAGCTATTGATAAGTGATAAACACAAAGATTTGTATTTGTGAAGAGTAGCCTTTAACTAAAAAGTAGTTTCACAATAATATTAGTGTCCTAAGAATACCTAACAGGACATATGCATAGAATAATACATAGCTAGGGAGGAAGAGATTTAACACAACAGCTAACCTGAAATATAGCTACACAACTGGAACTGCAAAAGTTGTACAGTATTCCATCAGGCATTGTGGCTTGATACTGAGGTAAAGAGTTTCGCTTACAAAATTGGCAAACAATTCCCAAACCTAAAAGAAAAATGTAGTATACAAAGAAAATAAATGCAAATTTCCAGGTTATAAATGACAAGCTAGCATTTCTAAAAGTACAGCAATGGCTGAGGTATGAACAATCATTTTTCCTATACAAGCAGCCTTTTCAGTAGTAAAAAATCAAACAAGGAAGTTGCTAGTTAAGCATACTTTCCTAGATTAATTAACAAATTTTTGATGACCAAAATCAATGGGAATGTTATATGTAAATACCTAGATTTACCAATAAAATGCTATACATTTTTATTATGTTACATTTTATTAATTTGAAGTACATTTTTATGTGTTCTGTATGTATTTTGTTTCACTCAACTTTGTAGAGTTTAAAAAAAAACAGGCAATTTTCTACAAGCTAGTGCTATTTATATGGTTACCCAATCTACATACATACATACCTATCGCACCCTTTTAGGGTTAAGGAACATTGTATGATCAATGGGTATTTAAAACTTGTATAAAAATGTACAAATTAATTACATAGACCATGAGACTGTATGAGATTGTACTGTTTCTAGCAAAGCACAACCTTAAATAATTGCACCATCAATATTTTTGGCCAATGTACAGCAACATTAAATATCACAATACTAGAATAAATTCAAACCAAGAGTGGATGGTTAAAAACATCCTGAAAAAGCTGTAGCTAACTAAAAACATGAGCTCAAATATTAAAACTCTGAAGGCATAACGTCTTGTCTCATAAACCATGCCTCATCTAGTTTTAGTTATACTAAATTTTTGCTTTAATTCATAAGAGTCATAAAGACTTTTAATAACCTAAATTTAATTAGAACATCAAGAGTGTTTTTCCCCCAAGAGGAAAACCACACAGAAGCAACATGTGAAACAGAATGTCTCTATTTTGGAAAGGTATTTTATCACTATTGATAAAAACACACTACCCTTTTCACTTACTTTGTGATTTTGCATATTTTGATTTGTGTGTGTTCATGCATGTGGTTGAGCAGTATGGCTCCATATATCCATTAGCTCCTATGCACTGTGTCATGTCAAAAAACCTGCACTGAGCTCTGCAACCAGTACAAGCTGTTAATTTGCCATATTTCTAAAAAGCAAATAAAACAAAACAAAACAAAACAAAAAGCAACAATTACATTAGTTATATCTGATTCAATACAACAAGCATGCAGGAATTTATATATCCTCTCCAAAGTCCATATATTTGCTAAAGTTTCCAATCGTCATACATCAGAGCGTTACGCATGCATACTTAATAGAGTCAATACACGGGGGGTGAGGGACCACATACCCACCCGCATCCATGCCTGCTGCGCTTCGATGCCCAAGTATTTGGCATGATGGATTGGCACATATGCATGGCTCCTATTTAAATACAATGTAGGTTTAAATTTAAGACACTTAGTTTGTATGGGTATTCTGACATAACCCTTTTATGAATAACTGTGAACTACTCTGTAACTCTTCTTAACAGTGGGGTGCAGAGGGCAGCCTTGAAATGAACAATCTGTTCAGATGTTGAAAAAGAAAAAAGTTCTAATATGTGAAATAATAAATACAGATGCATGAGGAATGATAGTGTCAGCAATAAAGTCAAAGTTGTATTTTTATAAAGCATGAAATGTACTTCCATAAAAATGATTAACTTATGTAACATCATTTTGGAACTGAATTCTAGACAGTATCTAGAATTTAACTCTGAATATTCTGACTTCATTTTCTTACCTCAAAGAAAGAAGAGACCCAGGTTTGCTTTTCTCAGCTAGAGAAACTCCAACACCACAATTGTGGTTGCAACCAAATGGTACTCTTTTCAGCTTCATCTTTGTTACTTGAAGAACACATCACTAAGTCTCTTATTTTAGTTTATTCAGTAAGTTTTACACATGGCTCAGCAAAAACCCTTAAGCATCTTCCACAAAGAGCTCTGGATGCTGCTTAAACAACTTTATGAGGAAACAAAAACCATTCAGAACAAAAAAGGATGGTTGGATGGTATTAAATTTACTTGATTAGAAGGGTAAGTTCCTCCCCCCTCTAAAGTACAGGTAGTCCCTGGATTAAGAACACCCCGTTTAAGGATGATCCATAGTTAAGAACAGAGCCTATTGTAGCAAAATTCAAGTTAAATACACAGTGTTTTGAGTTAAATACACAGTGTTTTGAGTTAAATACACAATGGTTTGAGTTAATTACACAATACTACTTATACAGTATTATACAGTAAAACTGTTCCGGCTTACATACAAGTTCGACTTAAGGACAGACCTTGGGACCTGAACTCATTCTTAAACTGGGGACTACCTGTATTTTACTTGTGAATTGGGGACTGGGGGAGTTACTTACATTTGCTGCTGAAAATGAATAAATGCATGGAAATACAGATGGCTGCAGATGGAGCTGCTACAAAGCATGGATGCTTTTGAAGTACAGATACTGCTTGAAGTTTAGCAGTTACTTGCGAGGTGCTGAATGCCTGAGGAATTTAACTTTTTTTCTGTCTAGTTGACTTTCCCCACCCCACCCCCTTTTTTTTTAACCTCCAGTGATTTTTTTTTCTTTTTGCTATTTCTCCTTGAACGAAGGCAGGAAATGTTTACGTGTCTATATGCAGTGCACAGTGAGTTTCTCTGCACAGAGGATCTGAATACAAAAGAAATTGATTGCCATATGCACATGGAATCAATTAATTTTATAAATTTGGACACATTTTATATGCAGTTTATTTTAATTAACAGTAATTAATTACATCAATATGAAATTATTTTTTATCCTGGCCTGCATAGTGGACACACATACGTACATACATACATATATATGCATGCGCGCACACACACACAAATACAGACACACACACTCTCATGCAGAGAGAGATCTACAGGATCGGTTTCAGCTGGAATTGGTACCGTTACACCAACAAGGTGGAAAAGCTGGGCACTGCAGATTGAGTTTGCTGCAATCTTAAGATCATTTTCATAATTAAGCTGAAAATGATCAAATAATAAAAAACAACACATTATTAAGTTTCTTGAGGATGCCTTCCCTGCTATGTCCCCATCAGGTATGTCAAATTGTATTTCCATCAATCTCAGCTGGTTGGAAGGTTCTACACAGGAGAAAGGAGCTTTACAGAAAAGTCTCCAATATTGACATACTGAAATATATTCCAATATTAGGACTATTTAAGATTACATTGCTTATATAGCAAACAAAAGAAATGAATTCTATTAAGTGGATATAACTGGTAGGATTACTTGGGAAGGACCAAATATATCTGAAAACTGCCCCCTCATGGATAACAGACAAAAAATGCTTCCTTCGAGCAATCAGTCATTAATAAGAGGAAACAATTACCCAAGACAACCAGGTAAGATAATGGTTAAACTGTTGGCCTACGAATGAGGAGATCCAGGTTTTAGTCCATCCTCAGCCATGGAAGGTCTCTGAGTGACTTTGGGCCAGCCACTCATTCTCAGACCAACTTACCTCTCAGAGTTATTGTTGTGAGGAGAAATAGGAGGGTATACTACCTTGAGCTCCTGAATAAAAGGTGGGATTGATTAATAGCAATCTAATTAAGAAAACACATTAAGGTCTCACTGAAAGCCCAGGCTTGCTTTGCTTTATCCTTCTTTAAACACTATTCTGTATGTTTTTCAACTTCAGTTGCCAAGATACTATTTTATTTAATCTGTTCACAGAAATCAATAAATTTTGCTTTAAGATTAGCTTGTTGCCTGAATACAGTTGGTGGTTAATAAACAATTTGGCTAAGGGCATCTATAATGTAGCTGCATGACTGTGACAAGAGTTTAACAAAAAAGACATTCACTGGCAGCCCTGATACACCAAAATGGACTGTTGATTTATAAAGAATACCTTAAAAGCCAAGAGAGAAATCTGATGATTTTTAACGAAGTGAAACCTAGCAATGGTAAGGAACAGTATTTATAAATTGACAACTGATAAACCTGTATTTTCCTGGTATTCTTCCAATCCTTTTGTATGGTTGAAATTTCTGCATTTAAGACTGTGTACTGCAATTCCACCTGTCAATACGTCAAGAAACTACAGAGGGGGGAAACTAGATTTGTTTAAGCACCTGGGTTTAACGAAAACATTACAGAAAGGCTGGGTTCATATAATGTGCTAAGTATGCAAAATACAATTTGCTTGTTTGTGGTCTTTCATGCTGTGTAAACCCAATTGGCTGTAGTTTAATTGAGAAAGCAGAACATAGCTTAGCACAGCCTTCCTCAACTTTGGCTTCCAGAAGTATTGACTCTCATGCTGACAGATGATGTTGTTCAAAACATCTAGGATGAAACAGGTTGAGAAAGACTGGCTTTGCATGCTATGCGAATACAGCCACCAGGGAATGAGGGCTTGAACTTCCAAAGTGCCCCTGAATTGATCTTTTTGGCTTCTTCAATACAGGAGTGAAATTTATTTTAGGCTTTAAGATCTGCAAAGCAAAATGAAAGCCCTCCCTTTTCTGCAAATGTGGATAATGGAAGAATGATGGAATTTGATCACCAGAGGGTTGCAATGACTGAACAGCAAAATCTTCATATTTATTCATCATCATAGCTTGTGTATCGAGTTCTGCATCTGTGCTGAAAAACCAATCAGGGACTTAAGAACTGAGATCTTTAGGGTTCACTTTGTACTTCCTAAATGCTATTACTTTCTTCTTTTCAAGTTTTACAGCAGCCACATGATTAGGAACATTTTACATGGTTTTTTCTGCCTGTCATCCTTGCTCAGGGGCCATGCTAATCTCTTCTGCGTTGTTCCAGTTTTAGTACACGTGCTGCTGAAGTGAGCACTTTTTGTTTTCTCTTTATGCTGGTCTATGACCATAATAAAGATTTGATTTGATGTTTTTTTCTGAGTACAACTCAGGATACTTTACAAAGAATAATTGCCATTGTTATCTTTCACCAATATCTTTGTCTTATTCTACAAGACCACAAAAGTTGCTGGTGTGAACATTTGAGGCACTTGGCTTTAAACCTAGCTGTTCTCTGCAAGGTCAATGGCCTTCAAAGCACCACATTGTATATGTACACACAATGAAGTAAATCAACCTTCGTTCATTCTCATGTATTGTATTTTGCTTTTTTCATTGAGCAAGGGATATAAGATCTGACTCTTGTAGACAATGGGCATTTTTGCAGGAAAAGGTACTGCTGATAAATAGACCTTTGGATGGTTCTGTAGCCACCTTTTCTCTAGTGTCAGTATATTCTAGACTTTTGTGTGGTTGACAGAGTTCATTTCTGGAGTTGACTTTCCAAATTAGAAAAAGACTTCTAAATTTTAATCAGCCCCTAAAACCTGCTTCAGTACTGAAACCTCCAGACTGTTCAGCAGAAACTACAAATGGTTACTTTGATACTGACATGTCTATCTTAACATCACCAGTGTTGATCCAGTCAGCAAGATCACATATGTACTAGCTCAGATCTTTGAGAACTTTGAGATTCTTCTCAACATTAACAACAAAGTGATTGCACTGGTCAACAATTTTGTCACATGGATTGTAATGGGTGTTACATTTTCATGCTGAATTAAAAAAAGAAATCAGTTTTTTTCTATCAGGGTTGGTGTTCTTGTGACCTTCTTCATTATTCTGTTCAATGAGATGTATATTTTAACTATAGTAGTATATTTGTAACAATCATTGACCAAAATCTAGTTATTATTGTACTCTAACATAAATAATCTCAAGACAAAGGTAGAAGACATTACAGCTTGCAGAGAACAACATACTGTGTAGGTTGAGTCATGTTTGGACATGTCTTGACATGAGCCTAGTCTCTCTACTTGGAGAGCAGTTCCTTGTCAGCTAGTGCCAAAGCTCACAGTAAACAGTAAATATATATCAAAAGTATCATTTGATACTTTCTACTATGTATGGTGAATTAACATTTAAATCTCAGAAATGAAACCTCCATCACTCAGAAAAAAAAAAAGCTATGAACTTTATTTTGGTTATAAAGTGGGTGACCAAGATAAAAATTGGGCCCCTCACTTTTGCTGGATGACGTGTTAGACTTCTAACAGGATGGTTAAAGTGTTCATGCCATAAGCCATGGTTTTGAGAGAGCCAAAAGACCATCAGACTGTTATTGTTATTTCTGCCTAATAAGAGCAATAATGATGAATTTAATTAATTCTTCTCCCAAGAATATGGTTTTGTAAAGGTGATCGTTCAGTTATGGAGGTTCTTGGCCATGAACACAATGTGTTCGAGTGGCGCTTGTTCACTGTCTTCTCAAAAGTTAATTTGAAGTTGTCTTTTTTCATAATGGAAATAAATTACCATCTGTACTGTTAGCCCATGCTGCTAACATGAAACAGTTTTATGAGAACATGAAACTACTTTTGGAAAAGATCCAGTATAAAAAATATAAATGGAATAAATGTGGAGGTATGATGGTCACTGCACTTCTGCTTGGCTTGCAGCTTGGATACACAATGTACTGTTGTTTTTTGTGTGAGTTGGGACAGTAGGAACAGGAAAAAACCATTACATTCACAAAGAATGGCCAAAACGTACCTCGCTTGTTCCAGGAAAAAAGAATGTGATAAACAGTCCACTTGTTGACCCTGAAAAGATTTTCCTTCCTCTTTTGCATGTCAAACTTGGACTTATGAAAAACTTTGTTATAGCGATGGATAAAACAGGAACTGGATTCATGTACTTGAGAATCAAATTTCCCAGGATTAGTGATGCTAAGATTAAGAAAGCATTTTTGTAGGTCCACATATAAGAGAATTTATAAGAGATTTTAAATATGATGAAGAGTTAAGTGAAGTTGAAAAAGCTGCCTGGCAATAATTCAAAAATATCTGTAAAAACTTTTTGGGAAATCATAAAGCAGGAAACTATCATGGAACAGTGATGTCCTAAAGTTGTACCAAGCTATGGGATGTAACACATCATTGAAAGTTCATTTTCTTAGACTCACTTGGACCTTTTCCCAGACCTTAGCGCATTCAGTGACAAACACATTGAACAATTTCACCAGGACATTTCAAACATGGGAAAGTGGTACCAAGGCAAGTGGAGTCCATGTATTGGCTGACTACCGCTAGACCCTTAGGAGAGATGTTCCTGAACTGAAATTCAGCACCCAAATTAAACACGGCTTTTTTTTTTTAGATAACCCTTTTGTGCTTTTAATTAACTTGTAAATATAGGCTATTATCAAAGTAACCTGTGCGTTGCTCAAAAATGTTGCCTGATAGCAAATCCTGAAAACATATTCAAATTCAGGATAAAAGATACTTTAAGATTAGCCACCTTTTGTTTGTGGGACACGGACAAAAACTTTTTTTTTTGTTCCAGTGTTACCATTTCTTATATCCTTTGTTCAACCTTTTCCTAAACATGAGACTCTTCACATTTGTATAGGGCTTCCCTAGAATCTTGTTCACCTTAAGAAACCTATCACTGGCTCTGATGTACGGATGCCAGCGTTATTTGCCTGACAAAAGTTACAGGAGCAAGGGGGGGGGGACTAGTTGAAGCTATATTTAATGGTTCGCCAACTGTGTTATTGCCTACTTTGCTTCCAGTCACTCCAATGCCAGCTGATTTGGGGCTTGAGGATTATCATTCAGAATTGGAAGAGTGTATCTAAGGGGTTTCTTCTGTCTCTTCTTCCCTAGTTCCAACTGTGTGGGAACCAATCGATAATGTCTCCTTCAAAGAACAGTTAGGCTTATGAGTATCTCAACAGCTATTTCACATATAAAAAAACTTATGTAAACAGAAACAGCTGACAGTGTCTTTCAAGCTATTTACTTGGATGCCTATACTCTGGGGATTTCTTCTGAAATCAGCACAGGATTTATGGCAGAGACAAGCTTCAATGTCTCCTAACACAAATGTTTATATAAATTGCAACAAGATGAAAACCAATTCCTATTTCAATATCCAGCACCAAATTCATTGGTTGTTGAAACAGCCCAGTGAAAACGTATTTCATATAGTGCCAGTACATGAGAGATGCAATTTGAATACAACCAAATGACATTCCTAAAAGTATCCTGTAGACCACCTTATTCGATATAACTTTTCCTTTGGGAGAAGATGGTCCAGTTACTTTAAGATTTAAAAAAAAAACTTGCATCTTTTTATTTGGCTTTAACTCTGCATCTGTTAAGACAACAGATAAAGACAGCAAGTTAATAGCCACTACAGAAACTATTTCCTCCATTGCTAAACACAATTGAGAAGTGCAGCCTTTTCAAAGAAGACAGTATTAAGTAGAACTTCCATTTGAAGAGGGTGGACTTTTCAGCAAGTGACACCACACACTACTGCAAAATATGAAAAGTAAGTGCATTGGATAGGTATGAACCAAATGCTTGTGAGAGGCCTTGGCAACCAAAAATATAAATAAACAAGCAAATAAATAGGCAAAGATTTCCCTTGGTTCAGAGCTCAAAACCATGTAGAGAGCTCAACCTGAGCTCAGAGTATAAGCCATCTTACTGGCAATGATATGGCAATGATATGGAGAAGTCTTTAAAGGATTCCTGTAACTGGCCTGGTGCTGCATAAAATATCTTCTGTCAAATCTGGATGTCTGTTACTATGGACCTGGAGGTTTTGACAATTATACCTATAGAATAATGCAAGTGAATTCCAAGAACCTTGGAACCTTCTTGTATCCCAACTAACTGAGCAACCTGACCTACAGTTTATGTATATGACAGCATTTCATCTCACACATCACAGAAATGGCTTAAGTACTGAATAAAGTACAATTGTTTAGATGAACTTTATATGAAAAGGGAGCATTTTCTGTCTTTGTTGCTGCGCAGTGATACATGTCTGTCATCTTTCCTTTTGAAATTACTCTATTATTTTTATAAGTTGACAACTCAAAATTTACCCTTTCCTCTGAAAGTTTACTTCACATACTTAGCTATACACATTCCTATTGCTTAAATAGTTAGGGCTTTTTTCATCATATCGTGAAATAAGTTATGTGAATTCATTCTCACCAGTAAGACCAACACTGCAGTGCCGCTTATCAGTTGGGCTTTTTGTTCTTAAGGGAATATCTTCAAACCTTTAGTTAATAACTTATTCAGATTGCAAGATTTAATTGACTGGGTTTATTATCTTCAAATAAGTAGTGTAGCATTAAAATAATAGCAGAAACAAGGTGGAATATTGAGAGAGCAAATTCAAAAATCTTGTAACATGCAGTTCCAAACATCTGCTGGGTCTTAATTAAGAATTGATGAAATATGATTCAGAATCTGAAGAAAAGATTGTATGATTAAATGGATGCAGAACTTGAATCAGTAGTAGAGTAATAGAGATGGGAATGTATAAATCTCAAAAACAAATAAATTTCAACAGAAGAATTCAACAGAAGAATGATGTAGAATCCAGTTCTGAAAACCATTCTTGGACTATAACTTAACATAATATTTGGGTTTTCCTATATATAGGGTCTGTATTTTATGTTCAAAGGATGTTCCAATTAGAATAGATTCTCAGTATTGATTCAATTTATTATAGTTTATAATTTCAGTTAATGATTTATTCTGAGTTGACTGGGTATTCTTTGTTAAAGCTTAATAGTGATTTTTGTTTTTTTAAAGCAATGTTATATGTTCAGAAGTAGTTAATGACCTATTGGGAAGCTGTAATCTCTATGACATTTGATTTTATACTTATTTGTATTTTACTCTTTCATACTTTTTCCTTATCTTTTATTTCTGTTTATACTTTCTCTAAAATGTGTAATTTTTGAAAAAACAAAACCGTTGACTATCAGATTTCAGATTACTTACCTCA